CGGCTCGCTCACCCCCCACGGATCGGTCCTCGCTCGGGCTGACCATCGGAGGACTCGTCGCTCTGACCGGAGAGGTTGAACATCTCCCAGTGTATAGAACTAAATTAACTTAAACTGATTCCTGTTCTTTCGTCTAAGTGTCTGCATGTGGGCTCAGAAACTGAAAACCATGACAGGACTTCAATAGTTTTTGTGCATTTTTGTGCATACACCCAGCCATAGAGTACAGGAAAGTGTATGATAAATGTACAAATCATTAGGTCAGTGCTCTACTTTTAGCTTGGCACTAGTAATGTCTCTGAGACTGGTAAACAAAGTTCACCTTTACCATTATAATAAATCCGGAAGCCAGAGACCAATTTGTAAACAGACAGAGTTCATAAAAGACGGAGAGGCATCTGTTAAAGGGTCGTCCAAGAGTGGACACGTAATGTAAATTTGTCCCTGTCAGCAGACCTGTAGATTGAGTACATTGTGGGTCAGAAATAGAGCAAGTACAGAGGAGAAGTTGCTGTTTGAGTATTTTTAGACATTCAAAAATAGTGATGAAGCATCGATATTTTAATCAGACAGTAACAGGAGATACTGTTCTTGTATGAAGCCTGGATAGAAACATTAAACTTCGCTGTGTGTGTATGTGTTTGCGCAAGGCTGCAAGCCCGGGCTCTCGTTATGTGAAACTGATACTTTTGATGTGAACTTTCTTTCACAGCCTTGTTAGCTCCACTCTCTAGACGCTCAGAGCTCGTCTGTTGTGAGCCTGCTGCACTAAGCAAATGCTCCAGGGACAAGGTTAGTGGCTCCTGTTACTCTGTGACTGATGAAAGTCACGTTCCACTTAAAAAAAAGAAAATTGTGCCAGTTGCACATGGCTTTCAACAGCACGTCAACTGATGGTAGAATTGGAATCAGACCTATTATGCTCATATACATATATATGTCACAGTTTCTACCATGGGGATTTAATTTTCATCCATTTCAAAACAGCATGTTATTGTAATAATAGCAAATCTTTTTGATATCACAGTTTATCAATGCTCAGAATTAAACTATTGCCATGTTAAAATATTAGTGTTGTCTATCTGTTGTATGGAGCCATGTTGACAGTGACCAGAAAGATTGACACAGGGTTTTGAAAAACCGACATCAAGACAGATCACCATTCATTCACACTCCCCTCTATAATCAATTTAGAGTATTCAATCCAGACTGGTGTCTATTTACACCAGTGTAAAGGTTAAAGAATGAAGGAGATATAAAAGTTCACCTGCACCAGAGTACAAAAGCAAAAAACGGGCTGTGCGCAAAAGTTGAAAAAGTATATTTTTGAGGTGCTGTTTTAGATCCTTTAACCCTATAAAACCTTGTCCAAGCAAGAAAATACAGATACATTTCTGAATTTGTGTAGTCCAAAGTCATTATTTGGTCTTTTAACATCATTTGAAAATTTTACAAAAATATTTTTTGGATGCCTCCATTTATTACCATGTGATGAGTCAAAATTATTGCAAGGTAGTCTAATATTTAAAAAACTGCATGTATCAAATATTAAATGTGCAGCATTACAGGGTTAATATTTGCAATAAAATATTGCATTTCCTCTGAAAGCCTTAAGTAGTGAGTGCAGTCTACTTTTTAGCCAACTGTTGGGTAAGCAGCATCAGTGTAATTCACTCAAAGAAACTGAACAAGCCCATAAGGAAGTTTAGCTCTTTGCAGGATGCTGCAGAAGCTGCTGAAATAAAATGGAAAAGACTGCACACTCAATATGGAACATTGGCACATTAGTCATTCCGGCCTGCAGAATAAGTGGATAACTTGTTAACCCCTAAAAACAGATAAAAACCCAGGTAAGGTCTGAGAAATGTTCCCAGTTTTCAGCATGGGCCAATAAATTACATTAAGTTGATCCCTGAGTGCATCAGAAATTCTATAGTGGCCCAATTCTAGTTCGTCAGATGACGAATTACATTTCAAGAACATTCTGCATTTGCTCCCTGAACTAATCTGTATCTTCAGTTTTTGTGGTCCATAAAGTAAATTAGGTGATCGGAACAGGAACCAACAGACATCTCTGACCCCGAAGATGGTGTCGGTATTGTTCCATTTACACTGGATTAAATACATTAACAAGATGTGGAGCTGTTCCTCATACATCTTTGGGTACATATTCCAACTCCAAAACGTATAGTTTCTGCCTGAGTTTGAATCCCGTGGCCTTATTATTAGTAGTATTTCCTGTCTTAAATTTAATATCAACTCTATAAGATAAACAGATTTGATTAATTCGGGAACAGGCACGTGAATCTGTGTGAGGTATCCCTACCTGCTTGCACATTTCACTGCCATTTCGCTGTAGATGACAGAGTCAGCGAAATGTCTGGAATATAAAAATGTGGTGTGACTGGGGCAGAAGGCCAAATGGAAGTGCCAGCTTAGCAGAGTTATAAACTGTCCCACGCTGCAATGACAAATGTGTTGAGGGGGCACAGAAGGAACGATGACACAAGCACGGAAGCACGAGGGCACAAAATATCACAGGAGTGTTTGTGGGTACGATGATAGTTTGCCATGCCATCCCCTTTTGGTCGATCACATGCTTTCGTGGTGAGATTGACCTGTTTGGATTGCTGAAATGGGAGGTGAACATGAAGTGAGATGAGATGTAACGTGTTGACATGTGCGCCGGTGCTGTAATTTATCATTACGTGAGCCTCATGGTACCTTTTTGTATCCCTGCCCCTCAACCCTACCTCTTCATGGAGTTTTTTATCTCTGGCAGAAATCTCTCAGCATGCTCTTACAGGAGCTCCAGTTGTGATCTTTTTTCCTTCCATCTTCCTCTCATACAGATGATGTTGCAAGGATCCACTTGCAAATTCCTACTGCACATATTCCTATATTTGATCCTGTAAGATAAGGTGATACTACACAAATTATTTTTCAGTGTAAAGCAAGATGATGATAAAAGGACCATTCTAAAACAGGAATGAAAATGTGAGATATTAAGATTAAGTGTCAATTCTTGCTCATGCAGTTCCAAAAAGTTATATTTGGTTACAGCCAATCATCACATATTGCACAGTCAATACATATATTTCTGATGTATATTAAAGTCATCACTCGATTAATTTAACACACTGCATCAATCCAATTCATTTTTAGCCATGGCTGAACAAAGGAGATTTATGCTAAGTTCTTATTAATCAGTTACAAGACATAGAGCTTGAGCAAGTAAGGTGTGGCAAAAAAGTTAAAAAACAACATTTTCCGTAGATTAAAAGTTTTTCTGACATCGACATATTTCGATCATGCACAAGTTATTAATACAACTATTCAGATATTTCCAATTTGATTACCATATGATAAGTCAAAGTTATTGTAGGGTATAGTCTTCTGCCCACCTGTATCAGGTATATCACAATGTGTGCAATATGTGTGCTGAAAAATTGCCCTAAATACTATATTTTTCACAAAAATATTTATTTCTTGTTTTTCTCTCTTTTTGGGAGTTTAATTTAGCTTAAACTGTCACAGTGTGTCTTTATGAGTGAAATATATTGCAGTTTTCATCTTGACCGCTTGATGGCAACATTGAACCATTCTCTACATATTCTCTCTGGTTTTCTGATAATGAATTATCGCCCCTTTAAAATTAACGATTTTTTCGTTAAAAAAAACACACGCACACACAAATATAATATTAATTATATCTACACCTATGCGAAGTGATTACTATAATTTCTGCATGAATGAAGCCAACCTCTCTGCTCCATGTGCGCCGTTTTCAGAAAAAATATCCTCTCACGCTCTATCATTTATTTGAAAAACCTCTTTGTGAAAACAGACATATATTGGTGTTTGGTGGTTGACATTTGTTAAGGCATTTTTACACATATATGGGTATTTCATCCATCACTGTATGTTTGAGGATATCTTGTCGATAAAGTGGAAGGAAAAGGTTTTTCGGTTTTGGTTGAGAAACTGTGAGAGTAATTTATGACTCCAATGTTTTGATGTATATATATATATATATATATATATACACACACACACACACACGCGTGTGTGTCTATGTTTATTTAGTGTCCTGACAGGGGAAGAACAGGAGAAATTAATCGGTTGATTAAAATATTTCTCAAACTTGCGCACAGATGCCGTGCACGGAAAGAAAACTCTTTAAGGGAGTTACGATTTTTATATTTCCTATGTCAGGCCTTATAATGGAGGACTCGAAGAAAATCAAATGTACGTCTTCAATAATATATCTAAAGATGGTATAAGAAAACTGGCACATTTTGACAAAATTCTTTAGGGTTACAAATTATTTGACCAAATGAAACCAACAATGACACTATTAATAATACGAAGGAGAAGAAAATTAATTAACAGAAAAATGTATCTTTTTTCGATGATATGCCTAAGATAGATATATTTCAACATTAATCAGATTGCTCAAAATATCTCATAAGCAATTATTCCGAAATTGATTTTTGTAAGGTTTTCAGCTACATTCTCCAATCTAGACCATCTGGCTTGATTAAAATGATTTCCTTACATATTTTACATTTATTAGTCAGGTTAAACATGATTATCTTTCTGAATTTTAATAATTAAATCTAGGATATCTCTAAAGACATAATGTGACAAATAATATTCTAAATTAAAAAATCTAAAACTTTTTGTCAATGTGAGTTAGATATATTCCTGATCAGTTGCTCATACTGAAGAATCCAGAAATGCCACAGTTGAAAATAAAGCTATTTTATTGTCAATGCATTCAACATGATTAGATAAACTATCAAGTAGTAAATTTCCGCAAAAAGGAAGAAACACTGAAACTATTCCCCACTGACACAAAATATTACACTTTGTATTTCAAATTAAACAAATTATTTACATTGTAACGTATAGACTGCATCTGAAATCAATATAATTTAGTAACACATGCACTCTGAAATATAGTCTGACATAATATCCCCAATTAGTGTCTATACTAATACAGACACCAACTTTTTTTTCATGTCTAAACATGAAAAAAAGTTGGTGTATTGTAAACCGTGACGCATCGACTACAATTGTAATTCATTTCTATATTTGCATTTGTATAATATAAAATACAACTTACTGTACAATTCCACATATTTAAATCTTTCCTTATTCTCAAATTTTTAAGTGCTCCATAAATAGATTCATTTTAAGTCAAAACAGATTTGCATACACTCAAAACATGACCTTTTGTACAAGTAAAAAAAAAAAGTCAACAGACCAAAAGAGGAATCTGAACAAATCAAAAGTAAAAACAAGTGCAATGTGTGGTTTTGTGTTTATAGCTGGCCCATTTCCAGTCGGAGGGCTTATATCCAGGTAGGTTCTCAGTCCCTCCTTTGCAAAAGTCTCTTCATTGCTTGTCTGGAAAAAGTCAGTTATGGGAGGTCATGTGACGTGACAGGTGATGCCGCTCGCGGAAGGACTCGTTGCATATGGGACACTTGAGTTTCTCTTCACGTCGCCGCTTGACTAGGGGTTCCATGGAGTACTCCTTTTTGTGGTGGGATCGCATATGGTAAACTAAGTCTGAGGTCATACGGAAGGAGGCGTTGCACTTGGCGCACCAGTTTTGTGCCGGCAGACACAGGGAGGTGAAGGAGGGAGGCAGTAGGGTGAGGGCCGAGGGCATCTGGAGCTGAATGGGCCCAGAGTTCTTGGGCCAGAAGGCAGTGGCGTACACAAAGGGGTTCTGCTTACCGATGCTGCCCGGCACTGGGCAGTTGGTGCCCAGTTCCGCACCCTGCAGCTTGGCAGCGAGATGATCAGCCTGATAGAGTCTGTTGGAGGACATGGTGTCGCCCACTGCTGGGTGGCAGTCCAGAAGCTTTGGAGGCATCACCAAGGGTGAAATCTGCGAGAAGGAGCGGGACGGCTGGCTGAAGGCACTCTTCCTCTCTCCTCCACTGCCGCCCCCTTGCTGGCTAACAGAGGTGAACGCGCTTCCCATCGGTGAGGTTTGGGGCGGCTGCGTCTCTGACAGCACCTGCCTGATGTTGAGGTGTTTCTCCGGAGCATTGCTGCTGGGACGCCCTCCGTCTTTGTTTTCAGAATTGGAGCTCTGAAGATTCTTGTTGCCACTGTGGTGTTTGAGGTTCTGGGCTGACTTCTTTACCTCTGTGAAGGCGCTGCGCTTGGCCTCTCCATGCTCTGTTGAGCCCGGCGGAGAAAATGACCTGTGGTTCTCCTCCAGGCCATAAACTCCTCTGTAATTCTGTGCAGATGTCGCAAGCTCATCTTTAGTCTTGGTCTGTGAAAGGCCGGATCCTCTTCGCTCCCTATCCTCCATTTCTGAGAACTTCCTCTTCCCCGAGCTCTCACTGCAGATTTCGGCCTCCTTGTCACTTGGGGGACTAGTCCGGTTGTTCTCTAGATCCCTGGCCAGGTTGTGAAAGTCTGTGGACGGTTTGTTGCTGTCTTGAGGACTGACGTAAGCCTCAGAGCGGCCCATCTTTGGGCTGGTCCTGGTGGGGGTGATATTTGATCTCCCTGTACTGCTGTCTTTGCTGGGCTCCTCATCGGCTCCTGTAATGCTTTGAAGTCTTTTGGTACAACGGAACCGGAGATGGGCCAAAAATGGAAAATCAAACTGGAATCGTTGGCTGCAATCGGGGCAGGAGTGATGGGAGGAACCTAGTTCAAAAAAAGGAAAAGCAAAATGACTAAACTGACAGAATTACAATGGGAAAATAATAATAAAAAGAAGTATATAGTAATGCAAATAAATAACACACTTTAAATGCTTAGTAGGCTGACCTTTGCCCTTTGATGGGCCTCTGCTGGAGCTGAGTAGCAGCAGGTCGATCAGATCTTTTCCGTACCAGACCAACAACTCCTCGTCTTTCTCGATGCGACGCAGAGAACGATAGAAGAGCTGGCCATTCTTTACATAGGCTTCCAAGTTCTGTTCTTCTTTGTCCCGGGCTGACTGGACCAGTCGCAGCCACATCAAACCCTCAGAGGTGCTGTTGGCCGCTGAAGTGTCTACCTGTACAACACAAACAGTTACATTTGAGGTCATTAAATCAGAGTAATTGTTTTTCCCTTTTTCAAATCTACAAAGCCATATTTTAAAAACACACACACACACACACACACACACACACACACACACACACACACACA